GATTAACATTCCATTCTTAGAACCTCATGTCCAAACAGCCCTAAATCCTTAATCCTGATCCATTCCCTCCTGATATGATGAAGTAATGTTGACAACAAGACATCTCTCCTAGCATAACACAATTCCATAGTATGTATCAGCCAGGACCCATGGTTACCTGACTGGCAGAGTGCCTCTAGTTAGAAGCAGATATTGTAACAAAAGAGGAAACCGCTTGGCTGGAGGATGGAGTGAAGCAAGTTAGAGAACAAACGTCTATCCAGTCATTTCAGGACGTTCCAAAAAAGGAGGAAATAAAAACGTTTGAAAAAGGGAAAGAGAGCGAGAGAGAGAGAGAGAGGGAGTATTGTGCAGGTTTAATGGCAGTTCTGCATTGATTAGAAAGGGGGTAGTGTTCTTAGTGATGGAGAAGCCGTATTCAATAACAGCGCCTCTTCCTCAGCCAAACACTACATCTGGTGGCGACCAACACAGAGCAGCACAGCTATCTCCTTTCATGTCCCCATGTTTTCTGAGAAAGTAAAGAAATGAAAACTGCTACCTGGTAGGAAAGTGATGGAGGGTCATAGGGAGACGGGTAACAGTAAACTAAAGGATCTTCGATGAGTCAATCATACATCAAACTCCTGTCATCATTACAAATCTAACCCACACAAGGTCATATGCCCTTTTAGTGCTCGAAGGGTAACATTAAAAAAGAAAAAGGAGTAAATGTCACTGCAGTATGTTTTCCATTATAAACTGGGTGGTTCGAGCCCTGAATACTGATTGGCTGACAGCCTTGGTATATCAGACCATATACCACGGGTATGACAAAACATATATTTTTACTGCTCTAATTACGTTGGTAACACATTTATAATAGCAATAAGGCACCTCGGGGGTTTGTGATATATGGCCAATATTCCACAGCTAAGGTCTGTATCCAGGCACTCCGCGTAGCGTTGAGCATAAGAACAGCTCTTAGCCGTGGTATATTGGCCATATACCATACCCCCTCGGGCCTTATTGCTTAAGAGAGCAGGAGCAAGCTGTATGTCACTAACTGGTGGGCCTGTTTGTGCCAAGAAAGTATTTGAGTCTCTCTACTTTTCATGAATGAGTTCTTCTTTAAACTAAATGGGCTCTGATTATGCTTTTATATGTTCTGTTTACATTTACATTTACGTCATTTAGCAGACGCTCTTATCCAGAGCGACTTACAAATTGGTGCATTCACCTTATAGCCAGTGGGATAACCACTTTTTTTTTTTGTGGGGTGGGGATTACTATATCCTATCCCAGGTATTCCTTAAAGAGGTGGGGTTTCAAATGTCTCCGGAAGGTGGTGAGTGACTCCGCTGTCCTGGCGTCGTGAGGGAGCTTGTTCCACCATTGGGGTGCCAGAGCAGCGAACAGTTTTGACTGGGCTGAGCGGGAACTGTGCTTCAGCAGAGGTAGGGGAGCCAGCAGGCCAGAGGTGGATGAACGCAATGCCCTCGTTTGGGTGTAGGGACTGATCAGAGCCTGAAGGTACGGAGGTGCCGTTCCCCTCACAGCTTCGTAGGCAAGCACCATGGTCTTGTAGCAGATGCGAGCTTCAACTGGAAGCCAGTGGAGTGTGCGGAGGAGCGGGGTGACGTGAGAGAACTTGGGAAGGTTGAACACCAGACGGGCTGCGGCATTCTGGATGAGTTGTAGGGGTTTAATGGCACAGGCAGGGAGCCCAGCCAACAGCGAGTTGCAGTAATCCAGACGGGAGATGACAAGTGCCTGGATTAGGACCTGTGCCGCTTCCTGTGTAAGGCAGGGTCGTACTCTCCGAATGTTGTAGAGCATGAACCTACAGGATCGGGTCACCGCCTTGATGTTAGCGGAGAACGACAGGGTGTTGTCCAGGGTCACGCCAAGGCTCTTCGCACTCTGGGAGGAGGACACAACGGAGTTGTCAACCGTGATGGCGAGATCATGGAACGGGCAGTCCTTCCCCGGGAGGAAGAGCAGCTCTGTCTTGCCAAGGTTCAGCTTGAGGTGGTGATCTGTCATCCATACTGATATGTCTGCCAGACATGCAGAGATGCGATTCGCCACCTGGTTATCAGAAGGGGGAAAGGAGAAGATTAGTTGTGTGTCGTCTGCGTAGCAATGATAGGAGAGGCCATGTGAGGATATGACAGAGCCAAGTGACTTGGTGTATAGCGAGAATAGGAGAGGGCCTAGAACTGAGCCCTAGGGGACACCAGTGGTGAGAGCACGTGGTGCGGAGACAGCTTCTCGCCACGCCACTTGGTAGGAGCGACCGGTCAGGTAGGACGCAATCCAAGAGTGAGCCGCGCCGGAGATGCCCAGCTCGAAGAGGGTGGAGAGGAGGATCTGATGGTTCACAGTATCAAAGGCAGCAGACAGGTCTAGAAGGACAAGAGCAGAGGAGAGAGAGTTAGCTTTAGCAGTGCGGAGAGCCTCCGTGACACAGAGAAGAGCAGTCTCAGTTGAATGACCAGTCTTGAAACCTGACTGGTTTGGATCAAGAAGGTCATTTTGAGAGAGATAGCAAGAGAGTTGGCTAAAGACGGCACGCTCAATAGTTTTGGAGAGAAAAGAAAGAAGGGATACTGGTCTGTAGTTGTTGACATCAGAGGGATCGAGTGTTGGTTTTTTGAGAAGGGGTGCAACTCTCGCTCTCTTGAAGACGGAAGGGACATAGCCAGCGGTCAAGGATGAGTTGATCAGCGAGGTGAGGTAAGGGAGAAGGTCACCGGAGATGGTCTGGAGAAGAGAGGAGGGGATAGGGTCAAGTGGGCAGGTTGTTGGGCGGCCAGCCGTCACAAGTCGCAAGATTTTATCTGGAGAGAGAGGGGAGAAAGAAGTCAAAGCATAGGGTAGGGCAGTGTGAGCAGGACCAGCAGTGTCATTTGACTTAACAAACGAGGATCGGATGTCGTCAACCTTCTTTTCAAAATGGTTGACGAAGTCATCCACAGAGTAGTGGTCGGAGACATGGAGGGGAGTTGCAGTGAGATTAGTAGAAGAACAGCATCTAGTAAAGATGAGGTCAAGCGTATTGCCTGCCTTGTGAGTAGGGGGGGACGGTGAGAGGGTGAGGTCAAAAGAGGAGAGGAGTGGAAAGAAGGAGGCAGAGAGAAATTAGTCAAAGGTAGACGTAGGGAGGTTGAAGTCCCCCAGAACTGTGAGGGGTGAGCCATCCTCAGGAAAGGAACTTATCAAGGCGTCAAGCTCATTGATGAACTCTCCAAGGGAACCTGGAGGGCGATAGATGACAAGGATATTAAGCTTAAATGGGCTAGTGACTGTGACAGCATGGAATTCAAATGAGGAGATAGACAGATGGGTCAGGGGAAAAATAGAGAATGTCCACTTGGGAGAGATGAGGATTCCTTGCTAGGATTCCATTGCTACTTCCATTAGGAAGTAGCAATGGGAAACTTGTAATATGTAAAGGATCTTGTTCATTTAACTCCTGAAATACACAAGTTGTTGTAACAATAACGTGCCAATAAACAAACAAATAGAAAGTGAACCATTGAAGTTCTTAATGTTTATGACCTCAATAACCATTTTTAATGTCAAGCAGTAGAACTCATCTCTTCGGTATAGATACCACACTAACCCTCAATATCCCATTGAAACCAACAGAACAGTGCTTTTGCATCTACACAAATCCTCCTTATTTAGCTACATGAGGTGGATCGGACAGAACAAGAATAAATCTGTAATACGTTCATGATGGAAACTGTATAGGGGCCACTGGGTTGCTGCATCCATTCAGTGTCTGAGAATGTGACCTGCCTTATCCTTATAGCTAAAGATCCACTGAATCACCTTCTGTTCAACCAGACTGGTAAATTAAAGCAATCTGACATCCTTTTTAACCTGACAAGATACCTCTCATATGACCACCACTGACATTAATCATCCTATACGTGGTAGCCTACTGACCGGGTGTTTGCAAGTATCATTTATAAACCTCTATATTTGTCTCTTAAAATACATTAAAGTATTGTGTAATGACACAGTTTGCCAGGATGAAAATATAGCAAACAAATACAGTACGTAAAAATACCTTCCAGAAACCAGATATTCCATTTACTAAACCATCTGGGGTCGAGTAAGGTTGTATTCAGGTGTAGCCTTTGTAAGGTATCTGTTTCTTAAATACTGTCATCAAACATAGCTACTCTTGGTTCTACTTATATGGTAGAATTCTCGGTCAAATTATTATTGGCAGTTGGACATTTTTTAAAGGCCTGTGATGGAATTAGCCTTCATCAACCCACTGACATCTCCTCATCCTCACCCTGGCTCTTTGGGCATCAAACATCTTTGGGTGGGGTTGGAAGGCTGATGTTGATTCTAGTGATGTTGTTTACTCTCTGAGAAGATCATTCCAGTTATTCTACCTCTGGCCAAGAGAAAACAGATGAGTCACATCTCATTACTGTTAGATGGATGGTTCAGTCACAAACCTGTATCGTCTCTCGATCCCCTGATGCCTGTAGAGATTCTGCTAAGTAAACCCCTGCTACAATTTCATGCCTTATCCCCTGGGCTAACCATTGGCAGATGTGGCCACATTTCTCTCTTCAAATCTCCATTGCCAAACTCCAAAATAGGTTTTGATTTTCTTGAATATGTTGACCTCTTTGACCTGTTGTCATTTCATGTTTTGTCATGGTGTTTGTGGACACAAAGCTGAAAGTGTTAAGAACCAATATCACAATATGATACATATTGAGAGTACAACAGCTTAGCTTACAAACTGTTTGAAACCTTTTCAAGCATCCAACTCTCTGTCTACTATACCCGTTAAACAGTGAGCAGCCCTACAGTTCTTCACTCATTCAAGTGAACTCCAAAGCTGTAAAATCCCCTTCAAACCTACAGGACTGGTGAAGTGACCACAGAACAGAAATCCAGTCTCCATGATTTCCTGCCGGGTGGGTGTCTGTGATTTGTAAGTGGCTCTTTTAGATGCCTGCTAGGAGATGTTATCAGGTCGGCCTATGTCCTCTGGATCAGTGAGCCTGCTCTTTCTCCCCCAGCTCTGGAGCCGTCGTAACACAGCAGAAATAATGAAAGAGGGTCTGTGAGCGGAGCTGAGTGGAGTGGGGAACACTGTCAGTGATTGTGTCAGTAGGGGGGTTAGTGCCCCAGCCCAGTCACAGCTCCCCCAGAACCCCCCGGGCCCATACCATGTTTTCCTTACATTTGGGATTCTTAGGAACCTTGTAGACTGGGTCTATAAAACTATTAGTCCTAATATGTAAGTTAAAATTGTAATTACATCTGAATTATAACATAATTACATTTTATCATAAGTAGCTTATGTATTAGGCCTACAGTGGGGGAAAAAAGTATTTAGTCAGCCACCAATTGTGCAAGTTCTCCCACTTAAAAAGATGAGAGAGGCCTGTAATTTTCATCATAGGTACACGTCAACTATGACGGACAAATTGAGAAAAGAAAATCCAGAAAATCACATTGTAGGATTTTTTATGAATTTATTTGCAAATTATGGTGGAAAATAAGTATTTGGTCACCTACAAACAAGCAAGATTTCTGGCTCTCACAGACCTGTAACTTCTTCTTTAAGAGGCTCCTCTGTCCTCCACTCGTTACCTGTATTAATGGCACCTGTTTGAACTTGTTATCAGTATAAAAGACACCTGTCCACAACCTCAAACAGTCACACTCCAAACTCCACTATGGCCAAGACCATAGAGCTGTCAAAGGACACCAGAAACAAAATTGTAGACCTGCACCAGGCTGGGAAGACTGAATCTGCAATAGGTAAGCAGCTTGGTTTGAAGAAATCAACTGTGGGAGCAATTATTAGGAAATGGAAGACATACAAGACCACTGATAATCTCCCTCGATCTGGGGCTCCACGCAAGATCTCACCCCGTGGGGTCAAAATGATCACAAGAACGGTGAGCAAAAATCCCAGAACCACACGGGGGGACCTAGTGAATGACCTGCAGAGAGCTGGGACCAAAGTAACAAAGGCTACCATCATTAACACACTACGCTGCCAGGGACTCAAATCCTGCAGTGCCAGACGTGTCCCCCTGCTTAAGCCAGAAAATGTCCAGGCCCGTCTGAAGTTTGCTAGAGTGCATTTGGATGATCCAGAAGAGGATTGGGAGAATGTCATATGGTCAGATGAAACCAAAATAGAACTTTTTGGTAAAAACTCAACTCGTCGTGTTTGGAGGACAAAGAATGCTGAGTTGCATCCAAAGAACACCATACCTACTGTGAAGCATGGGGGTGGAAACATCATGCTTTGGGGCTTTTTTCTGCAAAGGGACCAGGACGACTGATCCGTGTAAAGGAAAGAATGAATGGGGCCATGTATCGTGAGATTTTGAGTGAAAACCTCCTTCCATCAGCAAGGGCATTGAAGATGAAACGTGGCTGGGTCTTTTAGCATGACAATGATCCCAAACACACCGCCCGGGCAATGAAGGAGTGGCTTCGTAAGAAGCATTTCAAGGTCCTGGAGTGGCCTAGCCAGTCTCCAGATCTCAACCCCATAGAAAATCTTTGGAGGGAGTTGAAAGTCTGTGTTGCCCAGCGACAGCCCCAAAACATCACTGCTCTAGAGGAGATCTGCATGGAGGAATGGGCCAAAATACCAGCAACAGTGTGTGAAAACCTTGTGAAGACTTACAAAAAACGTTTGACCTGTGTCATTGCCAACAAAGGGTATATAACAAAGTATTGAGAAACTTTTGTTATTGACCAAATACTTATTTTCCACCATAATTTGCAAATAAATTCATTAAAAATCCTACAATGTGATTTTCTGGATTTTCTTTTCTAATTTTGTCTGTCATAGTTGACGTGTACCTATGATGAAAATTACAGGCCTCTCTCATCTTTTTAAGTGGGAGAACTTGCACAATTGGTGGCTGACTAAATACTTTTTTCCCCCACTGTACATGATTTCACACTTGCAATTGATTGATCAAAAGTAAATAGTTGAAGTACAGGCTACGATTCGTTTACTTTGATGGAAATGTCTCCCTGTGGAGTGTTCCTATGGCTTGGATGACTGTGACCTGGTAGGATCCAGATTTCCAGAGTCATTTTACAGTATTATTTCAATCACACTGTGCAGGACGCATGCGAGAGCCACGAGGCAGGAGGTGTGTGTGTGTGTGTGAGAGAGAAGGGGGAGGGGTCTAGAGGGGTTCCTACAGCTTCTCATTTCAATGAACCAGGGCGGGGTTAAGACCATCATTGTGGGAAACGTTTTTTAAAGGAGTTTCAACATTTTAATATCATTACGAGAGGTTCGTGGGCATCATCATCATAGCAAGAGGAGAGGTAGAAACTTCTCGGTAGCCGGTAGGTGCAGGCTATGATCATAGGTTATCCCTCTAGGAAAAGTAGCCTACACTATCGTTTCAACATGCTTTTCTCATGTATGATAACATTATACAATGAATTAGGTATATATTTTCAGGTATAGATAGCCTAACCGTTTAACGGCGCGCAGTTACCATGGCAATGTCAGCTCTAACCGGATTCTCCGTTGTCAGTTTGTTCAGTCTCGGCTACCTGTCGTGGGACTGGATGAGCCCGAACCAGGTAGAGAACAAATCCATTACGAACTTTCGACACCGTTCGCCGGTACCGCATCCCCCACACATAATCTTCATCATGACGGACGACCAGGGATTCAACGATATCGGTTACCACGGCTCGGACATCCAGACACCAACGCTTGATAAGCTAGCAGCAGACGGAGTGAAGCTGGAGAACTACTACATCCAGCCCATATGCACTCCGTCCCGCAGTCAGCTGATCACCGGCAGGTTAGCACATCTCTTATGACAAGGCCGGTGGCATAACACACCTTAAGTTAATTTCCCCCTTATCTTTTCCCTTAAAGTTTCCTTAACTTTAAATCAGTTGCACAACACATTTTAAGTTACATTTCCCCCTTAAATTAAGAGAAAAAGTTAAGGGTGCCCGGCATGGGGTCCCTTAACTGCATCATTCAGTATGGATATCAATGTAAACAGCATTTGTGGAGGTGAATGTTGCTTTCATCTGCCCTGGTTACAAAAGGAAAACATCAAACAGCTAGCTAGCTACTGTACTTAGCTAAGCAATGGCAGGTGCACAATCCATGGCTAACTTTACAACACTACTGTAGCTGGCTAGTTAGCTATAGATACTCTGTAAGCTATCTTGACTTACTAGAAAGTAATATAAACAAGTTGAGAAACAATAACTATAAAAACGTGGGTTATTATCTTCTGAAGCAATATGGTTATCCTGTCTTGATTGTATAAATTCTATTTTGCTATCTTACAAAATTAAAGCTATCTCTTTGAGACATTTAATCAGTGAATCAGGCCGTCTCCATGGTAAACAGATACTCTTTCTGCCATACATGCCTTCAAACTACTGTAAAACCCATTTTTTATGCCCTTACCTAAGGAAATATTTGAGGGGCTCTATGCAACGCCCTTAAACAATTACCTTAGGTAAGGGGAAAATTATTCCTTAAGGGAAAAACGTAAGATGTTTTATGGAACCGGGCCCAGACCTTATGTAGAGAGGTGTTGTATTATACAAATTAATGATTTATTCATAAATATGTTTTTGTGTGTGGCTTTTTTTGTAGGCATTGTTTTGTCTGTGGGGTCTATTCCCTATAGATGAATGTGGATCAACCAATCCTGAGTAATCAATAGTAGTGGATGAATTGGTGGAAACATAAAAATTCAGTATTGGTTGAGCCATATCTCTCTGTTTTTCTACTTAGATTTTTTATCATTCATAGTTGATTTATTGATTAGGCTACTTTTATTGTTCATCAATTACCTGAGTGACCAGGCATTTTACTTTACAGTTTATGCCTTTGTGACCTTCTGCCCAGGTACCAGATCCACACTGGCCTGCAGCACTCCATCATCCGCCCCCGTCAGCCCAACTGTCTTCCCTTCGATCAGGTCACCCTTCCCCAGAGACTACAGGAGGCTGGCTACTCCACCCATATGGTGGGCAAGTGGCACCTGGGCTTCTACAAGAAGGAATGCCTGCCCACCCGCAGAGGCTTCGACTCCTACTTTGGCTCTCTGACGGGCAGCGTGGACTACTACACCTACAAGTCATGTGACGGCCCAGGTACGTGTGGGTTCGACCTCCACGAGGGGGAGACGGTGGCGTGGGGTCAGGGGGGGAAGTACTCCACCCATCTGTATACTCAGAGGGTGAGGAAGATCCTGGCAGCCCATGATCCCCAGGCCCAGCCTCTGTTTATATACCTCTCCTTCCAGGCGGTGCACACACCACTCCAGTCCCCGCCGGAGTACATCTACCCATACCGAGGCCTCGGCAACGTGGCCAGAAGGAAGTATGCAGCCATGGTGTCGGCTGTAGACGAGGCGGTGAGGAATGTGACCTACGCCCTCCGCAAGTACGGCTACTACCAGAACAGCGTCATCATCTTCTCCACTGACAACGGAGGCCAGCCCTTCTCTGGGGGCAGCAACTGGCCTCTCAGGGGGCGTAAGGGCACCTACTGGGAGGGGGGCGTGAGGGGGTTGGGCTTCGTCCACAGCCCCCTGCTGAGGCGCAAGAGGAGGGTGAGTAAGGCCCTGGTGCACATCACTGACTGGTACCCCACACTGGTGGGGCTGGCTGGGGGGAACGCCTCACTGACGGAAAAGCTTGATGGGTATGACGTGTGGGGGGCCATCAGTGAGGGGAAGGAGTCCCCACGGCTGGAGATCCTCCATAACATAGACCCCCTCTATAACCCGGCCCGGAGCGGCTCCCTGCAGAACGGCTATGGCATCTGGAACACGGCCATCCAGGCCTCCATCCGGGCCGGGGACTGGAAGCTCCTGACTGGAGATCCCGGATACGGAGACTGGACCCCACCCCAGATGCTCCCTGGTTTCCCCGGCAGCTGGTGGAATCTGGAACGCCACCTAGAACCTCAGAAGTCTGTGTGGCTCTTTAACATCAGCGGAGACCCCTACGAACGCTACGACCTGGCAGAGCAGCGACCGGACGTGGTCAAAGAGCTGCTGGCACGGTTGGTGTTCTACAACCAGACGTCGGTCCCTGTGCGGTACCCCTCGGAGGACCCCCGGGCCGACCCGGACCTGAACGGGGGTGCGTGGGGACCCTGGGCGGGGGACGAGGAGGACGAGCACTGGGTCGGGGTCTACCACAAAAAGAGCAAGGACAGAAAGAAGAAGTACAAGCTGTCCAAAACCAAATCCTTCTTCAGAAGACTTAACACTAGGATCATGGCCAACCGGATATAGGAGCTGCTTCAGTCTTAAAGCTCCCTATAGCGACAATGTGGAACCAGACTGTTAAATCAATGACTTTGTTTACACTCCACAACCTGTGTGTTTCTGTATGTCTTCTTGTGTAAACAGTGGCTATCTGATTTGTGATCAGAATGAGGTCAACTATGGAATCACATGTTGTACACTGGGCAGAGCTAAGAGTTTGAGTTGAGTTCAACTACACACACCTCACACAACACCTGTGACAGTAGGTCTTGCTGTATGTATATTTCTGCTGATAAAATGAGGACTCAGTACCCTATAGACCTATGGATGATTTATCCATTGTCCATTATACTGTAGGATAGTTGTTGATATATAAATGGGGTATGTCAGATATTGCATACTTTTCTTTTAGTGTTGGAGAATCTCTTGAGAATTACCTAATTAAATATGAATAAATGTGAAAAACATTACACAAATGACCTTTCTGAGGTAGATCCAGGAGTTCAGACCAATGGGCCTTCATCTCATTACACTGAGCTTTGTGGACCAGACACATCAATGTGATTACTGAGGGAACATTGCCCTCTGATGGAAGTTAAGAGAAGCTACATTTTTATACCACCATAAAGTTAACCTCTTCTCTCACTTCCCTTTCAAGTCATTCCAGTAGATCAGAAGTGAACCCACTCCAATCTATAGAGAGTGGTGGCTGCTGAGGGGAGGACGGCTTATAATAATGGCTGAAATTGAGTCAATGGAATGGTATCAAACACGTGATTTCCATGTGGTTGATACCATTCCAGCCATTATTATGAGCCATCTTCCCTACAGCAGCCTCCACTGATGTGTATGGTGGTACAGAACATGTATAAGCTGGTAAAAAGACCTGACTTTGCCTAGTTCTTTGCCTACTTGAACAAAATGTTATTGTTGGCCACACAAACTCTCTGTGGTCAAACACTTCCTCTTTCAGTCCGAGGTGCCAAAGAAAGAAACATATCACAGTGGTTTTGCCACCATTGCTCATTGCCACTGTATGATTTTCAACAGCACACAAATGATATAAAGAGATTTTTGGCATGTCTTTCATTGAGAGCCCACTGACAAGATGGTGATTATCATTACTCTCTCTCTCTCTCTGTGTCTCTCTGTCATCAGCCACAGACAGTGACCACCTGTAATGCTACTCAGAACTCATCCCAGCGTTCCGTGGTTCTAAGTGGAACTCTGGATCTCCAGCTGATGACCAATGCTAGTGGATGTGAACTGCTGTTTAAAAAGAACCTCTGAACCACAGGTGCCCTGTGTGAAAAATGATATGAGAAACAGTGACATACACTCTGAAATACATAAAATTTTGAATCCCATATTGGTCTTTCACGGTCAGGCCAACCCAAACTGTACTGTGGAAGTAGGCTAATAGTAGGCCTACCATTGAAACAGATAAACCTAAAAAATTCACAGGTTTCAGATTTCTCAATTTTTTTTCATGTTTTCACTCTCAAAGTCACACTTTTTAAACAGAAAAACAAAAAATAATTATGTTCTAAGCCCATAACAATGCTTAAACCACATCAGGAGATCACTTTTGAGGTCTGGGAAATATTTAAGAAATGTTGATTTTTGAGTGTCGTTAACCTTCAATTTAAGTGTGCAGGCATCTAGCACTGTTTGGTTAGCAGTGTTTCTGTAGCACGTGATGGGGTTTGCAAAAGAAATGGCTACTGGTTTGATGCAAATAATCATGATACCATTCTGACAGGTAGGCATAAACTGGAGTTAACATTTAATAGAGAAGATTTTTGTGAAAGCCTTTCCATCTCCCAGAAGATGTCTAGGCCTATCATTACCATCGCTATATTTTTTTCTATTCCTTGTTTGAAACCTGGACATTTTACTTCATATGAGGCATGTCTTACTTTGAAAGTAGCCTATCGCCAAAATCCCACCATAGAAACGTGGAGGCAATTATTTTGATAAAGACTTATTCATATGCTTTCTCCTGTTCTATTGATTTTCTTTCAACGTCTAGCAGCCGAAGGCATTATCCTCACATCTCCATCTCAAACAAAAATCAAAGTTAAAGATCACAACTAAATCAAATCAAACTTTATTTAAAGTGCATTTAAAGTTTGATTTGATTTAGTCCTATTCTTTAATTTAGATTTAAGTTCAACTAAGTCAGTGGCACAGATAGAACTATCCAAGCAAAATATAAATCTCCTTCAAATGTTGATATTTGTTTACGTTGGCAACCAAACACAATTAAATATCACTTTTGCAATAGAGTAAATAGTTATGTTTATTTGGACAATTAGAGATCACTGAATTGCTCTATATTTTGTTCAATGTATAAACAAGTTTATTAGTCAACATATATTTTCATATTTGTGCATTTAATATAACGTTTATACATATATATTTCAATATAACATTTATAAATATATATTTTAATATTATACATTTATTTTTCAGAGTGAGAGTATCAGAACACTCTGGAGGGCGGCATTTCTCTCAAGCAGACATTCACAGCTATACTACAACAACATTTCTGACTCATTCTGCTACTCACCAGACATTTACTAGAAAATAGGATGTCTCTGTTTCACAATCATACCATTACAGAGAAAATAAAGAAATGGTCAATAGTGAGGGCATTTAGGAACTTACTACTCACAATGAGACACTTTCTGCAGAAGTGAGATTAGTTAAAATATTTAAAAAACATTATCAGATTGAAACAAACCTTCATGAATTTACCGAGTGGCTCCGAGTTTGAAAATTAGTTTATTACAGAGAATGAAATAATGTTAGTTAGGGAGCCAATAAACCTACTGAAGCTGTTCATGTTTGAGCAGATCGTTGCCCCAGATCAGAGTTTGTTCTCGTAGCAGTAACAATACAGATATGCCGCCTGAAACACCTCAGCTAGAGGGTCGGCGTAGCGGTGACACAAACTGGTGTGAGTTCGGATGCTGCCAGATAATGGCTAGAGTGTGTGTGTTGTAGAGAGATGGTGGCGATACAGCACAAAATCCCAGCGGATGGTGGCTGTATTACATCCAGTCAGAGGTTCCTGTCAGTCTGTCTGGATGGCGATGTATTTATTGGACGTGTCAATAAAAAATAAATACAAATTCTACATTGGAAATAAGATATAAAAAAAAAGTTAAAACTAATAATTGATAATGATTTAAAAAATATTATTGGAACTGTCGCTAATCCTTATTAAGGACAACCAGGTGTGGGGAGTTCCTTACTAATTAGTGACCTTAATTAATCAATCAAGTACAATGGAGGAGAGAAAACCTCCATGGAATGAGTTTAACACCTGTGGCCTAATGAGTAACACATCCATGGCCACATTTTGAGGTTACTCTAACTATAATGTCCTCTTATGTAATCATAGAAAGCGTGCATGTTCAAGATAGCATGCAAAGGTCGCAGGTCTGTGGAGATCTTCACAATTGCTATAATAAAGAATATCAAACAGCATTGATCACTTGCACTATGCATAGTGTACATACTTTTAATGTAATCTCAACTGCAATCCAGGTCATTTGGTTGTACTATAAGATGAGGCACTGTGAAAACACATTAAATTGTTTGTTACAGGTTTTAGTTTTCAATTTATGTACAGTGGGGAAAAAAAGTATTTAGTCAGCCACCAATTGTGCAAGTTCTCCCACTTAAAAAGATGAGAGAGGCCTGTAATTTTCATCATAGGTACACGTCAACTATGACAGACAAAATGAGAATTTTTTTTCCAGAAAATTACATTGTAGGATTTTTAATGAATTTATTTGCTAATTATGGTGGAAAATAAGTATTTGGTCAATAACAAAAGTTTATCAATACTTTCTTATATACCCTTTGTTGGCAATGACACAGGTCAAACGTTTTCTGTAAGTCTTCACAAGGTTTTCACACACTGTTGCTGGTATTTTGGCCCATTCCTCCATGAAGATCTCCTCTAGAGCAGTGATGTTTTGGGGCTGTCGCTGGGCAACACTGACTTTCAACTCCCTCCAAAGATGTTCTATGGGGTTGAGATCTGGAGACTGGCTAGGCCACTCCAGGACCTTGAAATGCTTCTTACGAAGCCACTCCTTCGTTGCCTGGGCGGTGTGTTTGGGATCATTGTCATGCTGAAAGACCCAGCCACGTTTCATCTTCAATGCCCTTGCTGATGGAAGGAGGTTTTCACTCAAAATCTCACGATACATGGCCCCATTCATTCTTTCCTTTACACGGATCAGTCGTACTGGTCCCTTTGCAGAAAAACAGCCCCAAAGCATGATGTTTCCACCCCCATGCTTCACAGTAGGTATGGTGTTCTTTGGATGCAACTCAGCATTCTTTGTCCTCCAAACACGACGAGTTGAGTTTTTACCAAAAAGTTATGACCATCTGACCATATGACATTCTCCCAATCCTCTTCTGGATCATCCAAATGCACTCTAGCAAACTTCAGACGGGCCTGGACATGTACTGGCTTAAGCAGGGGGACATGTCTTGCACTGCAGGATTTGAGTCCCTGGCGGCGTAGTGTGTTACTGATGGTAGGCTTTGTTACTTTGGTCCCAGCTCTCTGCAGGTCATTCACTAGGTCCCCCCGTGTGGTTCTGGGATTTTTGCTCAAACAGGTGCCATTAATACTGGTAACGAGGGGAGGACAGAGGAGCCTCTTAAATAAGAAGTTACAGGTCTGTGAGAGCCAGAAATCTTGCTTGTTTGTAGGTGACCAAATACTTATTTTCCACCATAATTTGCAAATAAATTCATTAAAAATCCTACAATGTGATTTTCTTGATTTTTCTTTCTCAATTTGTCTGTCATAGTTGACGTGTACCTATGATGAAAATTACAGGCCTCTCTCATCTTTTTAAATGGGAGAACTTGCACAATTGGTGGCTGACTAAATACTTTTTTCCCCCACTGTATAGCTCGTTAGCACATAGGGTGCACAGATTGGTGTCACCTCGTTAGTCAATATGTGTTGCAACTGTGCTGGTTACCATCTCGCT